TGTGTTCATATTCACTGCTGTTATTAGACATGATGTACAGTATTCATAAAATAAAACACTAGATGATAGGCCATCACCTGTAGATTTTAGGGGGGGGGGTACATATTTTGGCAGGTCGAAAATACGGTCTGAAAAAATCTGTATCCCACTATAACTTTTGTCAGAAAACAAGAAATGTGTTCATATTCACTGCTGTTATTAGACATGATGTACAGTATTCATAAAATAAAACACTAGATGATAGGCCATCACCTGTAGATTTTAGGGGGGGGGGGATACATATTTTGGCAGGTCGAAAATACGGTCTGAAAAAATCTGTATCCCACTATAACTTTAGTCAGGAAATAGGAAATGTGTTCATATTCACTGCTGTTATTAGACATGATGTACAGTATTCATAAAATAAAACACTAGATGATAGGCCATCACCTGTAGATTTTAGGGGGGGGGTACATATTTTGGCAGGTCGAAAATACGGTCTGAAAAAATCTGTATCCCACTATAACTTTAGTCAGGAAATAGGAAATGTGTTCATATTCACTGCTGTTATTAGACATGATGTACAGTATTCATAAAATAAAACGCTAGATGATAGGCCATCACCTGTAGATTTTAGGGGGGGGGTACATATTTTGGCAGGTCGAAAATACGGTCTGAAAAAATCTGTATCCCACTATAACTTTTGTCAGAAAACAAGAAATGTGTTCATATTCACTGCTGTTATTAGACATGATGTACAGTATTCATAAAATAAAACACTAGATGATAGGCCATCACCTGTAGATTTTAGGGGGGGGGGTACATATTTTGGCAGGTCGAAAATACGGTCTGAAAAAATCTGTATCCCACTATAACTTTAGTCAGGAAATAGGAAATGTGTTCATATTCACTGCTGTTATTTGACATGATGTACAGTATTCATAAAATAAAACACTAGATGATAGGCCATCACCTGTAGATTTTGGGGGGGGGGATACATATTTTGGCAGGTCGAAAATACGGTCTGAAAAAATCTGTATCCCACTATAACTTTTGTCAGAAAACAAGAAATGTGTTCATATTCACTGCTGTTATTAGACATGATGTACAGTATTCATAAAATAAAACACTAGATGATAGGCCATCACCTGTAGATTTTAGGGGGGGATACATATTTTGGCAGGTCGAAAATACGGTCTGAAAAAATCTGTATCCCACTATAACTTTTGTCAGAAAACAAGAAATGTGTTCATATTCACTGCTGTTATTAGACATGATGTACAGTATTCATAAAATAAAACACTAGATTATAGGCCATCACCTGTAGATTTTAGGGGGGGGATACATATTTTGGCAGGTCGAAAATACGGTCTGAAAAAATCTGTATCCCACTATAACTTTAGTCAGGAAATAGGAAATGTGTTCATATTCACTGCTGTTATTAGACATGATGTACAGTATTCATAAAATAAAACACTAGATGATAAGCCATCACCTGTAGATTTTAGGGGGGGGATACATATTTTGGCAGGTCGAAAATACGGTCTGAAAAAATCTGTATCCCACTATAACTTTTGTCAGAAAACAAGAAATGTGTTCATATTCACTGCTGTTATTAGACATGATGTACAGTATTCATAAAATAAAACTCTAGATGATAGGCCATCACCTGTAGATTTTGGGGGGGGGGATACATATTTTGGCAGGTCGAAAATACGGTCTGAAAAAATCTGTATCCCACTATAACTTTAGTCAGGAAATAGGAAATGTGTTCATATTCACTGCTGTTATTAGACATGATGTACAGTATTCATAAAATAAAACACTTGATGATAGGCCATCATCGGTAAAATCGTTGTTTGCCTATGTATAAGTGCAATGCATTATTGAATGATTTTGGTAATAATTCACCATGGAAGGAGGAGGAGGGGGGGGGGGTAAGAACAATTTTATATCCACGGGCTGTTTGCTTGTGAAACGATATGGTCGTCTTAGTTTTTCAGTACATTCTCGTGAGAATTGATCCATTCCGTGCATGAAGCTAGATCGTTTGCCCACAAAATAATTAGTTTTTGATGGGCCACATGATATCTGTCTTTGCTAAACCTCGTCGATAAAAAAAAACAAAACAACAACAACAGTAAAACGATGACTTAAACAATTCACGTGTTATAGTTTAATTCATCTTGGACAAAGTAATGACACACCTCCTGCTGAATGCGTGCGCGCTCCCGCGACCGGGGATACACTCCTTTCAGGGGTAAGTACCTTGGCACGACACCGGTAACCCCATTTGTCAAAATAAAAGTCCCGGTTTATAAAAGAGGTGTAGCCCTCGCGATTGGCTCAAAATTAACTGCCCAGAACTATTCACAGCTGCAGCAAATTAAGTCACTTAGGGAGACATGAGCCAGACAACAGCATCATAATGCTACATTAATTTACTTGAATTTATTAGATTAAATTGACCCCATTGTTTGTTAGGAATGACTCTCTATAGTGTACCATAACCACAAGCATTAGAAAATTATATTATGGTTAATATCTGAATGAAGGCTGAAAATATAGACATATATTAGAGATCAAGACAATATTAGGGGCCGTTCACATATCGCGCCTAAAAACGCGTAGAAAACGCTAGGCGCACGCGTTCTCCTTTTTCCAAAGAAGCGCTAGGGCGGTTGCACTCCGGAGGCGTCTGTCGTTGCTAAGCAACCATCAGCTGCGCTCTCCATTACATGAAGGAAATTTCAGCAATGGATTTCCACCACCGAAAAACCTTTGCTGTAACTCTGTTACAAGATTTATTTACTCAGAAAAGTAAAAAAGCGCCGCAGTGTTTGGGTGCACCCCATACTACAAAAACGCAAGAACCATGGGGAATTTCACCAGCTGATTCAGGAACTCCGCCTGGACAATGGGAGGTTCAAAGCCTATTTCAGAGTGGACAAGGACCAGTTTGATTATATTTTAAGAAGAGGTAACAAAAATGGCGAGGAAGCTGATTGGTTGACGTGACACGTGACCTACAGTGCGCTTGCGGCATTCTGAAAAGTTGAGATGTTTTTATCTCGATGCGGCGCGGACGCGCCTGGAAAAAACGAGCGCGTCGCACCGCGACCGCGCCGCTTCCATTATGAGCGCGCATACCGCGCGCCTACATTTGAAATAACGAACTTGAGCGCGCAAAAGACGCGATATGTGAACCGGCCCTTACTCTGTCTTTCTATTTGTATTAATGCTGTTTTTGAGATTGGGTTAATAATGTAATGTTGAATGAATCCATATCTAGCTCACAGTTTGTCCAACAGATTTTTCCAAGAGGTCCTCGCTGCAGTCTGTAGCACGATGACGTAGCTGGACGGTCCAATACGTGTTGGACCCTGTAACGCGCGCATGCGCACTAGTCAAGTCAAGTCATCTTGATTTATATATCGCTTTTAACAATTTAGATTGTTTCAAAGCAGCTTTAATTTAATGTAACAGATTGTTTTTGATTTATAGCGGTTCATGAATAATGTTATTTTACAGATAGTTAGTTTTGATTCTGTCGAAATGATAATTTGTTATTAAATTAGGGGATGACACCGTTCTCTCTAAACAGACTTTAAACGCGATCCTGTGATAAACGCTGATGGCACATGCACATTAAGAATTCATAGGCCTAGTTAGAGAGTTGGTGAACAATCGTTGATCTTCCAAGAATAGCCTACATTTAAATATGGTCACGAGCGAAGCTCTTATTTTCAGAGCTTTCAGAATAAAACTTTTTTTTTAATAATTGCGACTTTTTCCTTACAATTGCGAGTATAGGCTACTTTTCGCAGACTTTATTTCTCAGAATTGTGAGATATATAAAGTCAGAATTGCGTGAAATAAAGCCTCAATCGCATGTTATAAAGACATAATTGCTTGAAATAAAGCCTCAATCACATGTTATAAAGACAGAATTAGGTGAAATAAAGCCTCAATCGCATGTTATACAGAATTAGGTGAAACAATCGCATGTTATAAAAGACATAATTGCTTGAAATAAGCCTCAATCGCATGTTATAAAGACATAATTGCTTGAAATAAGCCTCAATCGCATGTTATAAAGACATAATTGCGTGAAAGCCTCAATCGCATGTTATAAAGACAGAATTAGGTGAAATAAAGCCTCAATCGCATGTTATAAAGACAGAATTGCGTGAAATAAAGTCGCAATTGTGTGCTATAAAGTCAGAATTCTGACCTTTTTTCTCGCAATTCTGAATGTATAACATAAATGCGAGTTTATTAGATTTATTTTCCCCATGCTGTTATTATTTTAGCATTTTCCTTACTTATTCATCAATAATTACTTATAATTATTTAAAAGTATTATACTACACAGTTTGAACATCATCTCAGTACAATATTGAGCTTACATATCACTTAAAACCAATGCATTCGAATTATAATCAGAGATCGACACTGCGCATGCGTAAATGACGTCACCAAAACACACATCCATCCACTACGTATTGGACCATCCAAAAAAAAAAAAAAAAAAAAAAAAAAAAAAAAAAAAACGTATTGGACCATCCAGCTACGTCATCGTGCTACAGGCTGCAGCGAGGGGTGTCTCGATTTTTCGCCGGGGTTGAAGAAAAACACAGTATTGTATTTTATTATCACAGGCAGACAAGAACCCACTTAAACAAGATGAACCACCTGGCTGACATGTAAAGTGACCAATAACAGTTTTTGTTTTGTTTTATGTGCCCTAAAGAGGCAATACAATATTGTATACAACAATAAAGTAGATAAAGCAGTTGCATGTGTACCCTCAACTGTTGTCAAGGCAACACTCCACGCCCCACAGAACAGAGGGGCGGGGTCATTATCATTTAAAGACACATGCACTGAAGCATGACTTTAAATAAATGTAAGTATATTACAAACTTTTCATTTCGACCCTGACAAATCAAATTAACTTATGAAAATGGCATTATATAACCCCTTTAAAATAAACTTTCATGCGTTTAAACTCATGTTACCTACTGTTCCTGCAGGGTCAGGCTACTTTTAAACAACCCAGCTTGACCCCCATAGCCATAATCGCAATCCCGATCAGAATCCCGATCCCGATCATGATCCCGATCCCAATTCCGATCCCAGTCCCGACCGACGAAAAAGCGAAACCCTCTGGGATCTCTGTAAGAGTTAAAGAGATACATTAATTTTGTAGATGGTTTTGCCATTCTGACATTATATGTTGACTGACAGCCTGATTGACCTTTTAATTCATTGCTGGCCTTAATCAAAACATTATTAAGATATCAAATGGTTCTTATTGAAAACATTGTTTTCTTATTATGTTTTATAATTCATTATTGGCTGAATCAATAAAATGGATAGGCCAGTAGTTGAACAGTACACCAGTAAAGAAAAGCAAATTAATTGATAAATAAATTAAACGTCACTGTATGCTTTTCTGTTACGAGTTTTTCTTTCTCTTTGTTTATTACATTAAAAGCACAAATTAATGTGCAGTGTTTCAACAACAGCAAAATCCTTTGTAAGGATTATAAAAAAAAAAAGAAAAAAGACTTTATAACGCCACAGATCAAGGGTTTACAGAAGCAAAGTGCATTTTAAGGTGCAGATTGTTTGATTTAATGTTACTCTTGTCAAATCTTGTCCATAGTATATCAAAAGTAATACACATTCTTTAATTAGCAAATATATAACATCAAAATAAATAATGTTTAGGCTGTTAAGTATAGGCCTAAACTTCAGCGTTAATTTGAGCATTTAAATTATTCACTGGTGATCATTGTCTAAATATGATAATAGAAACAAACAGAATTTTACACATTTATAGAAAGTTTGAGCGACTTACCAACAGCAATATGGAAAGTCTTGTGTAATATCATACTTCTGGTGGTGACTTCATAGTTTCCAGACTGATCGTTTCGGATGTTACTGATGGTGAGGTCTCCAGTTCGACCATTCAGATAAATGTTTCTCCATTCATTGACAACAGGGTCGTTTGAGCGTGGGATGGGGATGACTTGATCTTCAAACTTCCACACTATCAGATCATCTCCCTGTATATCAGTAACACCGGTGCGTAGAGTAACATTATTCCCCTCCACCACTGACACTGACACCACATTATCTGTCATAACAAACATAGAGAACAAACAGCAACAGTGTAAAACAGAGATTATTCTTATAATGCTGTAAACTGTATAAAATAAGGTCTAGAAGTCTGAGATCACACTGAAAATCTGACTATATTAATGCAACTGAATTTATTTTAAATAATGTATCCATGCATTTGCACAAAGTTTTGAAATAATTTACGGGATATTAATTTTTAGAATATTTTGCCCACATGTATATTACACATAAGATATATGAATAATAAATAATAATTTATATGAAAAAAAAAATTCTGTTCCTCCAGGGGGCGCTTCACTGCTCAGAATTATATTGTGACGCCTTAAAAATGAGAATAATAATATTAATAGATTAAACATTCCGGCTAAATGTATTCATTCCTAGGATTGGCACCTGATCACTGCAAAAATAATGTGTTTTATGATGTAAAATGCATTCAGATTCTGCACTATATTTCAAATGTAAGTAATGTAACATGAGCATCATTGCTCATTTGACTCTTTGTATAGATGGTCCCTGAAGCTAAATATGCTCTTAGGATCAAGAAATGTTGCCACTATAAAATAATCCCCAAACAGCTGTAAATATCAAACAAAATATATATTTTAAAGTGATTTTTTGACTGTTTGTAAACTATATTGGCATAATAAGAGATGAACCAGTTAAAAGTTATTTGCATGTGGACGCAACGCTTCTTGGAAGCAAAACATGGTATTTCCAAATCCAGATCATTCTGATCCAGATTAAACTTTTGAAAATATTTTTCAATGCAATTGCGTTCTTTCAGAAAATGGTTGCTTAGTATCACCTGAGAAACTGTGTTCGATCACAAAGAACTTTTGACTGGTTCATATCTTATTGTGAAAAGATTTGTTCATTTAGATAAACGAGTTTGAACAGGAGAGTCACGAACGCTCATCACAGAACAGACCATCGCGAGCATTTGTGCTTATAAAACAAACTTTTTTATTTATTTTTTTAAATGACTGACCGTTTCGCTAGATAAGACCCTTATTCATCGTCTTGTGTCATTTAAAGCCCATTGAAGCTGCACTGAAACTCTCATTTGGACCTTGAACCGTTTGGTTCCCATTGAAGTCCATTATATGGAGAAAAATCCTAGAATGTTTTCATCAAAAACCTTAATTTCTTTTCGACTGAAGAAAGAAAGACACGGACATCTTGGATGACATGGGGTGAGTATTACCAGCAAAAGTAAAAAAAAAAAGTGAACTACTCCTTTAAACACTGAACCACAATTATCTAAATATAATACATACTATTTTTCAATGAAAATGACAAGAACCATGATTCTTTTTTATATATTAAACTTTTTACACATCATTCTCTTAACTTACACTCATTGCTGTTTTTTTAATTTACAAAAACAACAACCAGTTTTGATTATTCCACATCATCTAAACTGTTCTCAGAAAATGAATCTAGATTTGAATCCAGTTATCAGATTGTATGACTTGAGTTACTCACCGGTGACAGTAACACTGAATATTTTGGATGTCTCAGTTGTGCTCATGATCTGTAGTTTATAGAGTCCAGCATTGTCAGGTGTGATGTTTGTGATGGTCAGAGATCCAGTCTGCTTGTCCAGATTCAGTTTGCATTTGAATCTCCCATCATCACCCTCAGATGTAGAGAAGAGTCCATCTGCTTTATTAATCTTAGCTATGAATTCACCACCGAACCACCACTCAGCTGAATCCCCCGCTGGTATTACAGTATACGGGTGTAGAGTGACTGAATCTCCCTTCATCACGGACACGGTCACATCAACACCAAACACTCCTGATGGGGGGAAATATCATTAAAAGATGTTCATTCTTGATCAATCAAGTCATTTTTCAACTATTTCAACTATCAGTCAACTATTTACCTGAAAACTACTTTTTACATTTTATACACTAGCCTCATGTGAGGATATCGTTTTACGTCCATTACCATTGCTGTGTCTCCTGAAAATGAAAAATGACGTGACTTGTAATTTCAACATAAAACATAAATCGTAAAAAGTATGTAGAATGTATGTATGCCGTAGTATATGGCCGTATGTAGAAATTCACATGCAACGATCAAACAAAACACAAAAAAATAAATAAGTAAATCAAATTAAAAAATGCAGCCTGCATGGAAGCACTGGATTAAAAAGAAATGCAATGAACCAAAATAAATTTCTATTATTTAAAATGTTAAATGTTTCTTACTCTGGAATAGCATTATTCAGATAATATATATCCATGAAGAATGTGTTAAAGTTCTTCACAGATATAGGAGAGATCAGAGAGTGTAGTTTGGGGTATTTTAATCAGTCATGCATGAACACTGGCATCCTCAGATCACTCACAGTTGTGAGTCAATAAAGAATATACAGAATAAAAAAACAGGTTTGATGTAAAAAAGTAAAATTTCAGGAACTGCTAAAAAAAATAGATCTGCAAATATTTTGCTAGTGAAAAAATATTGCGTAACATTTAGGTTAATTTTATCTCCCATCTCATATTTGTTTCCATCAGTCTATTTGTTACAAATTGTAGTGTTTTGAATTCAAAATTAAATCAAATTGAATCAAAATACTTTATATGAAATAAAGGTGGAGTTTATATTGCATAATATTTAAAAAGTAAATCTTAGCACAATAATTTAAACTAACCAGGACAGGAGCAAAAACGAGCTCGATCTACTTTTGAGGCAAATAGTGATAATTATGAACTTAATTCTTATTAACCTAATACCTCAAATTAATAACGGAAACTTTTTTTAAGTAATCCATAGGCCTATTAATATAGGTTTCATGGACATCTGACTAAATAAATGATGAGAGGTTATTAATGTGCACCTGCTGTTGATCAATAATGAGCCACAGCCATGACCGACCAAAGAGATATAGAGACACTTTTATGCCGATTTACTTTTTATTTTGTATTCCGCTAAAAGAGTAGCCAATATTCATGAGTGTATTGTTGTTGTTATTATTCACACAAAAAAGTGTAGGCCTACATAAAAAATAAAGTGTTTTGCGCCCTCTTGTGTTCACTAACAGACACAGACACACACACACGAACAAACGTACCCCCAAAATACCCTTATAATGGCGTTGTAACTTTCACACTATGATTTATCACAACGTCTATTTGTAGAAAAAAATAACAGTTTTTTTTTAGAAACAATGGTGATAGGCTACAAGCAAATTAGATGATAAGAGCAAATGCACATTTTCTGTGTCTGAATTAATTAAAACACTGAATTAAAAGTGTTGAATTAATGAAAATAAATTTGACTCACCGTCCAAGAGCAATAAAGCCCCCAAAAAGAAGGAAAAAAGAATGTTCCTCATACTGATGTTGATTCAGGCCGCATCCGAACGAATCCAGATGGGATCCAGAAAGGGATCCAGGATATTGATGACTCGTAGCAAACCGACCCGGTCACGCGATTTCTGCGAAAGAATGAGTAACGTCACACTATCCAGAGCGGTCCAACAGTCTATTGTCCACCGGATAAGAAATAAAGAGAGGTCGCCTGTGCTTTGCTGAGCATGACTGCAGTCACGGCCAACATCAGTCAGTGACTAATCATCATAGGCAGCTATGTCTAAAAATGCAAGGGCTTTGAAAATATAAAACATGTCGATTCAGTTTATTTATTTATTTTACCTAAGACATAACAATACACCAAAATACAAAAGTGGTGTTAATAAATTAAGTTAAAGGCTCCGTTTTCTTAAAATACCTTTTAGATGTTCATATGGGATCACTTTGGTCCCAAATGAGGTCTAGCGGTTTAGCTAGTTCAGCTCGCTTCAATTTTCAATGTTCGAGTTTAATTTTTTTCAAGATTATCGGATTATATAAAAGCAACAGTACTTGGTTCATATAAAATGACATATATTATCTTGATAGAGAGTGATATACATTGACAGGCAGCTATGTTGTGAGTGAGGGGCGACCAATTTTTTCACAAATGAGAAGACGGGATTGGAGGGAACGGCACATGCTAATCATTCTGGCTTGGGGAAGGTGATGCAACTGCGTTCCTATTGAGCACTGAGATAGGCCAACATAAATAAAAATAAATGAGTCAATGACCATTAATTATTATTGTATCAACTTATTATATAATCATATAAAACATATTAAATACTTAAAAAGTGCATATGATCTGAGAAATGTGAACTTTAGCCTGCAAGCATTGAAAGCATGATAACAGTCACAAATCGGGACGCTGCTGAAGCCTCACTTTCTTTCACATATTAAAGTGTGGGATGTGGCAGTAAATTAAATGTAACAATTATAGCGCTTCGTCACTTATAGGCCTATTTGGTTTACCTGGAAACATTTCCGTTGTGTTCAGTGTTATTTGCAGAGCGTTTCTGTATTTGGAGCACACGTGTTGTGAAACTGATGATGATGGGGGTTTTTTTTAATTTGCAGGTGTTTTTTTTTTTTCTATTTGCAAGTGTTTGCTTCAGTTGCAGCACGTTGGGCTTTCTCGGCCACCGTACGGTGGGCTGCTGTGGGCCAGAAAGTCCAGGGCCACTTTTTGGTCCAAGTCCACCCCTGATTATAATAATACTCATAAAAATACCAACAGAGTGCTTTATGCAAGTAAATTGTGGTCATTTATTGTGTATTTGCACATATATCCATGAACATACCATTGGAACAGAAAGTCAGGTCAGGTCAGTCACAATTGAAATCCCCATGCAAGTAATCTAAAAATTACACTAAGACGAAACACTGATTATTCATGGTCTTTACAAATGTGATTTGTGCACATGGCTCTAAAAGTAATCAGAATTCAGCTAACTGTTTATAAGATTTCAGATTTGATCATGAAACAAAAAGATCAGAAGTAAATAACACACTTTCAAATGTTTCCATTTTGATCTAGTCAAGCATGTTGCGAAAAAAATACATTAAACATGATTTATTTTATTTATATATATTTGTACCAAACACTTGTCGAGTTAAATATCTCTTTTGGAAGCTTTTTCCCACCATGGAATAAAAAATAAAAAAGTAATTGGTTTAATTTTTTCGAAATTAAGAGTTTACTTCTCGCAATTTGATTTTTTTTCTAAAGGTCAGTCTTTTCTGATATAGGCCTACTGCGTGTTATTTTTCATTTAGCAAAAAGACTATTATAGTTTACATTAATCCCTTCGTCTTTGCATGACACATTGGAATTGCAGTACAGAATAGCTCTTTCGGCATTATCCTGAATTTTGTATATAGCGGTGTATCCTAACAGAAGAGGCTTTCTGGAGAGTGTGTAAGCGTCACATCCTCTGGATTTTCCCAGCAAATTCTGCCTAAGTCTTTCGCTTAAAAAAACAGTCTACATGCTTTCCTAAACTATCTAGGAAGTTGGGGAAGGTCTTGTTTTTTGAAGTTTCATTTCAATCATTTCAGACATTCACAATAAAAAAATGAGGCAATAGCTACACTGATCAGTAATTCATGCAAAGCCCATGTCTACATTGTTATTACAGGTTGATCCTTCTCATTATTCATCCTGATCCTGAGTTTGATTCACTTTATCTTCACTGAACCCTGTTATAAAAACAGAAATATTCACATTAAAGTTAAAAAATGAAAATAGTAAAAAATAATTAATAGTGTTGATAAAAATGATGATAATACTGTTAGCTAGGATATATGTTCCACTGCAATACACTTGTTTTGTGTAAAGTGCTGATATATCACAAGATCAGTGGTGCATTTAATATTTCTGTATTAATGGTGTTGCTTTGTCAAGTTGTTTGTATGTAATACTTACGTCTTTGGCTTGGTTACTTATACTTCTTGCAGTAAAAAAATAGCAATAGCCCAAATCATCAGAATACTGGCAGATATTCCTGAAACAGCACCTAAAGAACGCAAATCTGTAATGATAAAAAGAGTCATTAGTGTGAGTGTGTCTGATCTATAACACACACTATAAACATCAGCACTATATAACCTGAGTGATTTCTGTTGATGGTGTAAATAGCAGAGGGTGGTAATAGACAGTGGTGGATAAAGTACCTGAAACCCACACTTGAGTAATAGTATCTTACCAGTAGAAGACCTTTTTGTTCCAAAATAAGAAAAAAAAAATGCAAATATGGCCATGGATGTTCATCTTTGTCACAACCGTCATTTGTCACCTGATTTTCTATTCACTGATTTAAACTTTTGCACGTCTTATTCTTAAATATTTGAAATATGAATCTAAGGTTAAAATCAAACTAAATTAAATCAAAATCAAATACAATTTTGAATTAACATTGATTGCATAGAGTTAATTTTCTCTATGCAATTTTTCATTTCTTTAATAGATTTTCTTATGTTGAAAGATGACGATACTGAAAGATCTGATCTACTCACCACTGACAGTAACACTGATGGTCCTCTCTAAGGTGTGTGAGCTGCTGATCATGTCCAGATGATAAACTCCACAGTCTTTGGTTTCAGAGCCACTGATGATGAGAGATCCAGATTGGTGATGCATCTGTAATCTGCCATTGAATTTCTTATTGTCTTTGTCAATGATTAGGAATCGTTTAGACCCTTTATTGATCTCAGCAATGAGATTATCATTAATTTTCCACATTATCAGATCATATCCCTGTATTTCAGTAACACCAGTGTGTAGAATGACAGATTCTCCCTCCTTCACTGAAACTGACTTCACTCCATCTGTCACAACAACAAACACATACAGAGGACATATGATCTTAACAACATACAGTATATATATATATATATATATATATATATATATATATATATATATTTAAACAAAGTTAAGTTTCAGTGAACATGCTTTACATAAAATGTAGTTCATACCCCAGATGTTTACATTTTATTTGGGCATTTAATGTTTCAATGAACTTGTGATTAATGAATAATGCTGCACAATAACAGCTAATGAAATTTGTTTCATTGGCAGATGTAACAGGCATAGGCCAGTAAGCTGTGCGTGTAAACCTCACTCCCCATGTCCTCAAGAGGCGCTTGAGTGTGTGACTGACACTAGCGGCTGCAGTTTGAGTGGTCGTATAGCCCATAATTATTGAAAAGCCTCTAACACTACTGAAACGAAAAACATTGATCAACCTTTGTGAAATTCATTTATACCGATGATTAACGTAGTTGATAAGAGGTCATTTCACTTGAAACGAAGCTCTGTCCTCGATTGCATTCAGTTTAACATGTCTCACAAACTCTTTTAGACAATGGTTGTTAAGTTTTCTCATTTCAGCAATGCGCATGAATGTATTTCACTAAGGTTGATCGATTTTTAGTTTCATAGTCTTTGTAAGAGCTAGGCTTTTCAATAATTATGGCATACAACCATACAACCTGCAGTCTTTAGCCTCCTTGTTAGTGCGCCTCCCCTCCCATGCCTTAGAAATATTGCAGCAACCCTGAATATTGATATTAACTCCTGGGAAAATCCTTTAACTTGTGGAAAAATAAGTTGTGGGCCCAAGATCCTATGTTAAGGGGAAAACACAGGTTTCTTATGACCACAAGTTAAATGCGCAAACAACCCACACAAACATAGAAACCTGGAATTATCATAAATGGATAGGCCTATAGTATGAATTATTTTTAATTTTAGAAAAGGCGCGGGATTAAGAAATTATATTGTGCGGAAATATGCGCCATGTGTTTGCTTTATTTTCCTATTAATTACCGTATCTCTTTACCCAATTAACTTTAGTTAGGCCTACTTTAAACATAAATTTTGTTAAAACTGTAAATGCCCAATCATGTCACTTAAGTTTTGACTTTATGACTGTCTTTCTGTACACCAGTAGCCTATGTGAAAATAAATTACCTGAAGAGTTTAAGGCTTAAGAGCAGATATGAGCATCTAATGGTTGAGCCATCACAGAGTCAAGAATTTAACAGAACAGCTACTCACCAACAGTCATATAGAAATTTCTGTGTAAGATCATACTGCTGGTGTTGATCTCCACTTTATAAACTCCAGACTGATTGATGCGGATGTTTTTGATGGTGAGGTCTCTGGTCTGATCATTGACATCAATGTTTTCCCATCTCGCGTCAACAGGGCTGTTTAATCCATTAACTTGCACGAAACCATCGCTGGTTCTGATGTTTATAAATTAGCATTTCCTGAATGATTTTACTAAAACGGTTTAAAGTAAAATTAACAAACAATACATAATTTTAAAGTTTAAAGGCTTGAGCATCGATATTTATGATTGTAATATATAGCGACAACATCGTTTTAATTTTTATTGAAAGAAAGTAACAATTCACGTAACTTCAAATTGGGGATTTTTAAACTAGTTTTGTCTATTGAAGATGACAGATTCATTGTATCATAAAACAGGGGTGGTTTTATTGGGGTGGAATCCATAACATAGAGTTTTAGTCCAAAAAGGGCTAATTTAAGAGAAATATTGTTTAAATAAGCTTTGTTTA